GAAAGAAGTGTTATGTGTGTATTTAAGGAAGAATGGCAACTGGAGCTGATGTTTCTACAAAAGGAAGAGTTTACTCTTAACTGTTAATTTGTATATATTCTCAGTTATTTAATTTGTTAGAGGAGAAAATGCCTTTTGATCATACCTGATCATTTGGACTATTGTGGTATCTTATAAAAGAAATATATGCCCTGTTTTTTTTAAGTCAGAATAATATTTTGTCTTGTATCTTGCATCTAAATACAAGAAAAAGAACGAGGTAAAAAGAATAGGCTTTAAAAATAGCATTTGGCGAGTTTTTCTGCGTCATGGTAGTATGTAGGAAAAGAATTCGGCAAGGAAGAAAACTTTCTTGATGATAGTGTCGTGCATATGTTTGTTTTTTAGGGGTTCCATAGAGTTTGCTCTATTTTTTTTAATGAATAGAGGGAAAGAAAAGATGCAACCAAGTCAAACTTCATGAAGCAAGACACTTTATGCTTCCTGTCCTATGTAGCAGTTGACAATTTCAATTTACCGGCTGATATGCCAGCTACAAAACTAGTTGAGTTTACAAACGGAGAGTTACAACACTGAGTGAAGGGTAGTGCTTTTCAAGGAGAGGGAAAAATTGTTTTAGAAAGATGTCCTATTACTTAAGTTACAGAGTGATAAATACATGCTCCTGATACGTGGAGGAGTCGGGTAAGTGACTTCGATTTTAATACTCAAGCTCAGAAGAAAACTTGGGAGTTTTGACACTTTCGTTCATTTCTGATGAGACACAATCTCTAAAGAAAGGACTATGCTGTGCTATATATAATACTTATCTCTAAGCAGGAGTGAGGCATAAACTAAAATCCCTTGATGACAGGCAGATCTAATTTCTGGTTCTGTTGGAGCCTAAAATCTGAGGCTGCTCTATCATTCTTTTTCTCATAAGTGGGTGATTTCATTCTCTGTGCTTTTCATTCCCATAGAGACTGATTTGACTCTCTAATATATTTTGTTGCTATTGAGGGATTGTTACACTGACAGAAACTCATTAGTTGCAGCTTGTTTTCTGTTAAGTGCGTGGTTGAAGTCCTCATTACCACTTGGCTTCCTCCCTCATTTGCTTTCCATTCGGAATGTGTTGGATTTAATATCCACAGTTAAAATTGCCAGACAAAGTACTTCCAATAAGCTGATTGAATGTTTGTGTTCTTCAAATAAAGCTACTCCTAGGGAGAAAGTGTATTTTAGTATTTAGAACACCAAGCTAGAACTCTGGAACTTAAATGTTTAAATTACGCTGGATATCTTGGTAGCTAACACTGAGGAAATGCAGCTTTTATCATCAGACTGTCTACGTAGTTCTGCTTCTCCTTCAGCACATCTTCCATGTCTTCTCGTTCTTGCCTCGAGCATGTGAACATCGTTCAGTGGCAGTAGAACTTACTAAGTTCCTAATCTTTTGCTTCTGCTGAAAACTTTTGAAGTTTAAAATATCTAGAGGGGGAAGGCCTAATTGTGGTTGGTTTGCTGTTTGGTTGTTTGTTTTTTTTTTTTTTCTCCTTGTGTTTGTTGTGCCATAGGAAAGTAAATAATATAGTACTTGGGCAGCCTGGCTTGCGTATTTCCTGCAAACAGAACGTGTATCACAGTGGAATTTTTATATTGTACGGTGTGAGCGTGACTTGTGAAGTGCAGAAGATAGACTGTGACAAGGAGATGAGTCTCCCTCCTGAGTTTGTCTGAAGACATGAGTGGGTGCAGTGAAGAACAAACATGAGGTTGCTGTTGACAGTTGAAACCAACCGATAACTGGGAACTTGAATTCTGTTTTCCGAGAGTACTGAAATAGGGACGAGGACCGGTATGGATAATCTTTCTTAATTGGGATGTTGTCTCAGTCGTTTTGTGGAGTTTCGGAAGTGGTACTTGGCTGTGTAGGCACAAAAATAGAAAAGGCATGAAAGAAATTTGGATTGGGCATAAATGGGGAGAGTAGTGTAATAGGAAATTAACCTAAGCGTTTGGAGGGCAAAGCAGTTGAAAGAAGATTTCCCGAACTGTACGTAGTTCATGCTGGTATAGGTATTTTATTGTTCTGAATTCAAGGGATGTCTTCTGCAGAAGATTTGATATTGGGTTATGAATGGCATACTCTAAATAGTCTGCATTATTCAGTCCTCTAAAAAGAAACGTGAATAAAACAGTTGAGATGTTATTGAACTTAAAATGTTGTTCAGCATATAAAAGTAAAATAGCATTTTCTTTCCTTCCGAGGGGGTCAGGAACGTCCAGAAAACCTGATTGCCAGTCAAATGTCCAGACAAAATGACCTTATTTGTGATGTTTCTACGTCTTCAGACAGGGAAGTGAACAGTAGATCTTAAGGGAACGCTTGAACAATTCCGTTCAATGCTCAAGGAGCGCATCTTCCCCCATATTCTTCTAGTGATGCTTGGAATATTAAACCAGAGGAGACGGTTTTTTGAATTCTATCTCAGTGCTTTGATACGGGCTTTGTCTATATGTGTCAATTTAAGCTGTAGCTAGGGGATTGATGTTATGAAAATGGGGGAGACCGGAGGGCACTGGTTTGCCTGGCTATGCTATAGTTAAGTACACTCTGCATTGTAATGTTACACAAGCCTCTGTGACACACCCTTCATCTTGATCTTCAAAACATTACCAGTTCCACAGAATTAAAAACAAGGTGTTTTTATTTGCTTTTTTTCCTCTCATTGCAGCAGAGTGGCCGAAGACCATGACAGGTCTCCCAAGCACGTCAGGAACTACTGCCAGCGTGGTAATTATCCGCGGCTCAAAGATGTACGTTGCTCATGTTGGCGATTCAGGAGTGGTGCTGGGGGTCCAGGATGACCCCAAAGATGACTTTGTGAGAGCTGTGGAGGTGACACAGGACCACAAGCCAGAACTTCCCAAAGAAAGGGAGAGAATTGAAGGCCTTGGGGGCAGGTAACTGTCTCTGTGCTTTTTACTTCAGGTTTGATCTCTGGGTGCTATTTGTGTCTTGTGACTAAACTAGGCTTAAGCTTGCTTGTTTTAGGGGTGGGGGCAAGCAAGCTGGTGAATCTCATAGCCTATTTCTGTTCCTTCCCTATCTATGCTCTGGTTTCTTTCTAGCTTGTTGGGGAATAAGTTACAGTGATCCATTGTTACACTGTTGTGCTTTTCACTAGTGGTTTATGGTATAAACACAATTTTAATTTCCTGGTGTATTCCCATGTAGCTGAGGTGTGGTTACAATTCTAAATGTTCACTGAAAACTTTGAAAGTGGAGATACTGATATTTGACCTATTTTTCACTAAAATCTGAGGGGGGAAAAATGCCTTTCCATATAGATAACGATACGAGTTCTGGAATATCCGTTTTGTCAAATGGTGGAAACACAGCAGTTTTGACACAAAATACTCTATAATTTCTCATGCATTCTGCATTGTTCCTGAGGTGACAATGGCAGCTGCTGAGTAGCTTCTTCAAAGCTTCTGTTTAAGGAACACAAAAAAAATCTTAGATTTGAAACAAGATGCTGTGTTTAAATATACACTTAAAATGTTAGAATACCACATTTTAATGTGTATCTTTGTGTTAGTAATTTCTTCAGTGTCAGGAGCTGGCAGATGTTAGAACCAACATTGTGGTTGATGCGTGTTCCCTGTGACTGAGGAGGAAAGCAGGCAGGTTTGTCAGATGGCACTAATGTTTTGAGACAAACCTCAGGGCTCGCATTTGGCGTGGCTTCGCAGGAGCTCTCTGTTCTTTCGTTCTATAGTACCGCACCAGATGGATGGGCACAGTTTCCTTCTCTTAGCAGTTCAGAGGCAGAGATCACTGAAGGTTTTCCTGTTGACATCATTTGTACGAGAACCCTGTCAGCTCATTCACCTTCAGATATTTGTATCTCTAGCAGGTGGAAGTTGATCCGTTAGCTGTATTGGTAGCTTTTCAGAAAGGCTAACTTGCAGTTTTGCTAGGTTAGTACTTGTAAATGTATAGGTTTCCAGGCTGTGTATCTTGGAGATTGAAAGTCTCTGAAGCTTCAAAGAAGCATTCCCTGGAACTCTGTATCAACAGGAATGGTTAATTATTTTTTTTTTTAAATCTTTATTTTTACTGGTGTTCCTTCTGTTTTTCCCAGGCTGGCTGTTGCAGGCTATTGTGAGGCAAACGGTAGGAGTGAGGTGGAACTATGCAGCTGTGCTTATTAATGTCTTCTCTTTCATGAGATCGAATTGGGAAAAATTAATGGGAGAGCATAATTGAATCTTTCATTAAAAATGATATTTTCCTAGCAACAGTTTCCAAGTGTGGGATGAGGTCTTCCAGATAATGACTGAAGTTACCTTTGTGTGATTATTAGTTGTACAAATGGATGAAATTGATTTTAGGATGTGGTGTTTGTGACTTTGCCATGCTGTGCGTGCAAAAGGGTGGAGCTAAACATGCCCTTGTTGTTAAGGCCTTTGAAGTCTCAAGAAGTGCATCTTGAATAGCTTCAGTATGAGGAATCTTGAGGCTGTTCCAGAGCTTCTCAGTTTGTAATTACCAATGGCTGTTCCTTGGATAAAAGTTAGCTTTTAAGTATCTAGTTCTTAACTTGGTTGGGACCAAGCTTTGCTAGTTCTTTGCTCCATTACCTTTTCTTGCTTGATGGCTCATACTCTCTCTCTTCTTTCCCTGCCTCCCCTGCCCCATAACTGGAGCCCCATTTACTGGCTCTGTAGCTCCTCCGTTGACCCTTCTAATGCCATGTGTGAGAACTAAAACCAGTGCTCAGTGCCTTAGAGCAGGTGTTAACATTCAAATGCAGAGCTGTTTCTTCCTATCTCCTGCTTTCAACAGACAGCAACTATGAACAATTCCTCTTTTATTTCTGCCTCATGTTGGTGCACCATTAAGGAAATTCCTACAGAAGGCTGCTCCTTTCTCTTTTGTTTTTTTCAACTGTACTGTACTGCTCTTTATTGCCAAACTTTGGCAGATGGAGAAAACTGAAGGAAGAACTACATGATGCTTCCACCCGAGTGAGCTGATGTTTGATGGTCCTCATTTGAGGAAAGCAAATTCAGTTCTGCTTTGTCTCTGACAGATTAAAAAGATACTCTTACATCTGGTTGTTGCAGCCAGCCAGGATTTCTTCCAGGTCTTCATTCCCCTCCTTTTTCTTCTGCCCTTCATCTCTCACTTTTTCCCTTTGGCTTAATATGGAATGAAACTATCTAAATGATACCGTGTGTTTTGAAATATTTAATTGTGCTGTGGACTTCCCTGAGGGTGCTGTCATTATTGACTCCATATTTGCATATTTAACTGGTTTTGTGTCATTGAAACTAACTTTCATGCTTTCATTTCCATTCCTTTTCAACCCCTGCCTCTTTTTGATGGTTGTAGTGTGATCAACAAATCTGGTGTGAATCGCGTCGTTTGGAAGAGACCTCGTCTGACTCACAATGGCCCTGTGCGCCGCAGCACCGTCATTGACCAGATTCCGTTCCTGGCAGTTGCTAGAGCGCTTGGTAAGTTGTGCCTGTGTTTGGAAAGTGAGACGCTACTGCATACAGGCCACCAGAACTGAATTATATTCTGTTTTGCCAAAACACATAGTTTAGAGGGATCTACTCGCTTGCCTTGATTACAAGGCCTTCTGAAAGTCTGGGCCTTTTTAAAGTAACTTTAATACAATATGGATTTCATTTTGCAAATCAAGCTGTAAAAGGTGTCATTGGCGAGTGAAGGACTCGCCCTACAACATGCAGGATTTTCAATGTCAGTCTTACAAGGATGGTACTTCATTTCTGTTGCAAACGAAAATGTACAAAGCAGTATGTGTCTCCAAGATGGAGAGCACATTTGTCTTTTTCTTACTGAAATAATAGGACTGTAATTTTTGACTAGGTGGTGGTAAGAGGAAGTTTTGCTGCATAGTATACAAATTACTTTGGTCTTCCTTTTGTGGTGAATCTGTTTGTTTCAAGACTTAGCATAGAATGGATGAAGTGACTAAAGTCAAGTCTGTTTTTTAACTGTAACTTGCCTTTGCAAGAGTATTAGCAACGGGGAAACTTTGTGGAACACTTTATTCGGAGGACAAAAAGACATATTACAGTACCTCACAAACTTGTTATGAATGGTTTTGGGAAGTACTTCATAACTCAATCTTTGGATACCTCTTGTCCATGAGTGTTAGTGTTTTCTGGTCAGGTTTTCCTTGAATTTCATTGCAGAATTCCAATCTTCTGCAGTTCATTTTGTTTCCTTCCTTCTTCCCTTTGCCCTGGTGAAGAATTCTCTATCCAGATATACCTAGTATAGGTTCGATTTTTATCAAAATGTGTCATATTTTTACCTGTGAAAACTGTCCTGTGACTTAATTTCTTCTTGGCAAGCTTGACAGTTACATGATAGTGTTGTCAGTGTTCCTAGATCAGCTGGCAGTGTGTCACGGGGACAGTCTGTTCCTGGGACTGTGGTCATCTTGATAATTGCATAGCATTACTGTGTCTTATTTCAAAGGCAGTGATACCTGTTTTACATGGATTTGTCCAGTGCTAAGAAGAATTTTGCAGTGATAACTAACATTGTAAAAGATAGCTGTGTATCAAGGAAAGAGTCACAGGCGGCTAGGTGGCTGAATGGTGGTCTTTTAATAAAAATAAAATTTTAATTTTATGGACGTTTTTCTCTGTATCTTGCAAGTCTTTATTATGTGTCATATTTTAGACAAGATAGATGCTTATTTTATGGTTAGTAAAGCTGATTTGCGACTTTTCAGAAATCCTTTGGAGTTAGTAGATGACTAGCAAACGGAGGTCTTCATCCACTGAGCAACATGTCCCTCTTTTCCCCTTTTCTGCAGAAGGGTACGTGTTCCTCATAGATTAGAAAAAGTATATGCTTAATTTTTATGAATCTTTTATTCCTATGATTGTGAGTTTGTTGTTTGTCTAAATAGCTCGATGACTTTTGATCTGATTCCTCTGAGCAAGTTGAACAAAAGGATTTGGCTGGGTTTTGTGTGCAGATGGGAATTCAAGGAAGGGTGCATCTGTTAGCCCACTATTGCATTCTTTCCAGTTATGTGGATGAAGAGGATTACTGGAGAGCTTCAGGTCCAAGAAATGAGAACACCTATCTTTTAACAATTCTTGGTGTCAAAAGTTAGCAGATTTGAAAGCTTAAAAGAAGGCTTCGGCGTCTTCAAATGGAGAAACAGGTTTACAATGTGACAACGTTTTGGTGTTTGCCTGCTCGAGCAGCCTCCGTAGCCTCTTTGCATCCCCTTCTGAGGAGGTATGACAAACCTCCTGGAAAAAGGAACACAGCTGCTTCGCTCTGTAGGACCCAGATGGTGCACAGACGCTCACAGTTTGGAAACAGGATTTAACTTCTCTCTGAGGCCAGCATGCCCCTTACGCTGCTTACAAAAGGCCTACCACGACTAAAGCCATTTGCATTCATGCTGTTGAGGCCTGCTCGACCTCTTGGCTGGCTCCCAGATTGCTACCCTGGTTGGCACAGCACTGCTGCGTTGGAGCATCTCCAGGCGGAGTAATAACTGTCAGTGTTGACATGTAACAGTTACCAATACTCTAGTCAATCCCACTAAGATCTAGAGCAGTGATTCTTTTTGCTGAGCCCAAACTCTGTTGTTATTCTTAATAGAAATCCCATACGGATCTCAGACTGGACAATAATTGGACAATAATTTTTAGTAGGAGAGCAAGAGTCTCTCCACACTCTGCTGTGCACCGTGGCGAGAAACCTAGAATTGTGAATTTACTATCTTTAAAGTGGGAAGATTATCTGATTAAAAAACACTAAATATTAGAACATACGTGTTTTTTCAAGTTTGTCTTTCTTGTACAACACTCTAAGATATGTTGATGTAGTCTCATCCCTCATCCAGTCCTTAAATCTAGCCCTCGTGGTAAGGAGTACTAGAAATAGCAGGAATAAAACACTGTGGAAAATTATTGCATTGGTCAAATATTTGGACAGCAGAAAGGACACGGGTGCAATAGAAGTCCTGGCCAGATTAATTCTGTTGATATTCCCTTTGCTGCTCTGCCTACAGTGTCTTTCTGCCCTAAAATAAGCATTTGTGGTATGCACTTTTTATTACCAGTGCTTCTCATGGCAGTAGTGAGTGACTGCATTTAAATAACATTCAATTTATTTATAGCCCAATAACAAATCAGAAATATTTAGGCTTCCTACTGTCTCTAAAGTATCTGTATGCTGCTTTTACTGTGTACAGGTTTTAAGTCTTCTAATGCAATATTTTAAACTGTAGCAGAGTATTCTGCATTTAAGCATAGCTACTTCTGCTAACCTTTTCTGGGCAATGAAAACATCTTTCTTTATACCAATTTGCCTTGCAATAGATACTTATGAATCCCTCACAATCTCAGAATTGTTCACCTCAGGACTTGCTACCCATTCTGATCAGGAGAGCATTTTGTTTCCTTAGAGTGTAATCATTTGAGTAAGTTTCCCGGCACCCCTAATTTCATGGTAACTGTCCATTTTATATGCCTGTCCTTAAAACAGGTGTGAGGTAACTCAAATTACTTGAATCGCCTTGCGTAAGGCAAGGCTATGAGTGTGCAAATTGCTGGATACCATGGAGCAGATGCTCGGGGCACCAAGCCGTCGTGTAACTTGTTTGTGTGTGTTTTGAAGAGTCTGTGTGTGTCATTGCATCATGTATTAGTTGTTGGCTCCCTGTGGAGACAGTAACTCTGTGTGGCAGTCGGGAAGGCGTTGTAGGCTCCCGTGAGCATGCTTACATGTGTGTGTCTTGGGGAAATAACCCACTCTGTGTACGTATAACATAATAGCCAGATGCATGCTAGCAGAAAGGTTACGTTTCAGCTATAACATCTGTCTAAATACATTGTTAGACCTGTTTCTGGAATGATGAGTGCAAGGCTGTAAGTGTACAAGATGATGTGTGTTTTGTTCCCATGTGTTGAACCCATTGTGGACAAATGGAACAAAGAGTTTTGATCTTTGGAAACCAATTTTGAAGTAAAATCTGGCCGTGTGTGTAACTTTCAAAGATGATATACCAAGCGGGGGAAATGGAGAAAAGCTACAGTCTAAGCTGTCAATATCTTATGGTATAACCTGAAACGAGAACAGAATGTAGAAACAAGTAGACAAATGGTGTGATTAATCACTGAGCTTTGTAGCTTGACTCTAACTGTAACTTAAACTCCCTGCAGTTTTCTTAAGTTGCCATTTAAGTTCATATCCCCAGCTGTCCTGCAGCCTGATGAAGTCGACGTGCGTGGTGTGATGGCAGAAATGGGTCTTGATTGTTTTTTAAATCACATAGGATCTCTCTTGTTGGTGAATTAGTTCGGGTCTAAATCTAGTAAATCTTTTATGGACTTTTTTCCCTCCTCCTCCTTCTCCCCTTTTCTTGGAAACTAATATAGAGCCAAGATCTGCAGCTGTCTGAAGGGTTATGTAGTAAGGGATTGCCTTGCAGTATTGTAGCTGTTCGGTGTGGTTGGTTTTTTTTTTTTGGTTGGTTGTTTTTGTTTTTTCAATTAATGAATGATGAAATGTGAACCAAGAACCCCTTAGTTAAACCACTCATTCATGTGGCAACGTGAAGTATCTTTTCCCTGTTTTTTTTAATGTAGAAATATAATAGACTCACCCCCGTATTTTAGGTGGAGTGGCCTCTGCCATACAGGTTTGACTGTTAAGAACATGAATTTCCTGCTGCCCCCTAAAAGGAATTATGTACCAGAGCAGTGAACGCTCAGTGTATAGCTGCTACAAGAATGTTGGCGCTGACAGTGATACAGAAGCTGTTTTCCAGAGCAACTTACTGGATGCCAGAATTGTTTTGTGAAGCTCTCTGAACGTGCATACCATGAAACCCTGGAGAAGAGGGTATGGCAGACCTCAAATGATCTAAGTAATTCCTGTATAAGAGTTTAGGTTTTTTACATGCATTTAACTACTTTAAAAAAAAAAAAAAATTCCCAAATAGAATGGGCACAGTTGCTGCACAGTGTTTGCTGCCTAGTTCTTCTTTCCTGCTCCTTTGTAGGCGCCACCATTAAGATCAGTCACATGGAATTGCAGCGACTAAGTTATATTGAAGTACTGCACAGCATTTGCCAGGTTTTATTGATAATTGGTTTTTTTATATTGTCTGTATAAAACCAGACAAACCTGAAGTGCATTTGGCATTCTAGTCTTGTCCTAGGGATGTCTTTCTCTAGCTTGTACAATTTTCTTCACCCCTAGGATAAAATATATATGGATGCGTGTACAAAATGCAGAGTACTCTGCGGATCTGTGTGTTACACAGATGGTCATGTGAAGGCACGTGGGGATCCATGTAGCTCAGATGAGAAAGTTTGGGGCTCTCCCCCCACCTGTGGCAGTCTGGAGGTCTCTCTGCCTTCCTCTTTAGCTCTCTCTTCTCTGGCAATGTGGAAAAGCGATAAAACTTTTCTCCTAAAGGCAGAACTTTCTCCAGGTTTGGTCACTG